TAAAAAAGACACATCATCTTTATCCACTCCCCAGTGGATGGGCAATTGGGCTGTTTCCAAGCTTTAGTTATTACAAACTGTGCCGCTATAAACATAGGTGAGCATATATCCTTGTGGTATGATTCTTTTAATTCTTTTGGGAAGATAGCCAGCAGAGGAATAGATGCCTCAAATGAGGCCTCTAATCCTAGTTTTTTGAGGTATCTCCATATTGATTTCCACAGAGGTTGCACCAGCCTGGACTCCCCAAAACAATGGAGATGGGTTCCTTTCTCCCCCACAACCCTGCCAACATTTGTTATATGTTGATTTCTTGATAGCAGCCATTCTTTCTGTGGTGAGGTGGAATCTCAGTGTTTTCATCTGCATCTCTCCTATGAGCAATGATGTTGAAAATTTTTCCATATGTATATTTGCTGCTTTTAATTCTTTGTCTGAGAAATGTCTGTTCATGTCATATGTGCATTTTTGAATTGGATCTTTATATTTGGAGGGTCTGACATTGTTAAAGTTCTTTATATATTCTAGATAGGAGTCCTTGGTCTGAGGAACAGCTGATAAAATTTTTTCCCACATTGAAGGTTGTATCTTAGCTCTGTTGGTGGTTACACTTGCAGTGCAGAAGTTTTTAATATGATGAGATCCCAGTTGTTGATTCTTTGTGCTAGTTCCTGTGCTATGGAGGTTTTGTTCACAAAGTCTTTTCCTATGCCAATGTCTTTGAGAATTCTGCCTAATTTGTCTTCTAGCAAATTTAGTGTTTCTGTATAAATATTTATTTATTTTTAATTTAAATTTTTTGGTACGTTGTAGGTATACAATATAATGACATTCATCATTGGAAATTTGCACCTTTACATAGCCTCTCTTGGTTCTTATTTTCCCCCCTCCTCTGCCCTCCCTTCAACCACTAAATCCCTCCCTATTTACAAAGACTTTGTTTTCATTTTCTCATATTAATTCCTTTCCCTTCTTTCCTTTCCCCTACCCCTCCCACTTCCCCTTCCCCTTTGCCCCTTTTCTTCCTATTTCACATTATCTATTATACCATTTAGTCCTTATATACACTTTCAGTTTCTCACACTAGAGAAACTAATAGGTGTTTACACATGTGTGTCCTATATATTTCACTTGAATATTGCTTCAATGTGCATCCATTTAGCAAAAAACACATCTCTAATTTCTCTTTTTTTGTGGCTGAGTAATACTCCATTTTATGAAAAAACACATTTTCTTTTTCCAGTCTCTGGTTGATGGGCAATTGGGCTGTTTCCATGTTTTAGCTATTACAAACTCTGCTGCTATGAACATGGGTGAACATATCATTGTGGTATGATTCTTTTAATTCTTTGGGGAAGATACATAGCAGGGGAGTAGCTGGGTCAAATGGGACTTCAGTCCTAGTTTTTGAGGTAGCCCAGACTGATTTCCACAGTGGTTGCACCAGTCTAAACTCCCACCAGCAGTGGAGCAGTGTTCCTCTTTCCCCACAGCCCTGCCAGCATTTGTCATTGGTTCATTTCATGATAGCACCCATTTTTTCTGAGGTGAAGTGGAATGTCAGCATTGTTTGCATTCACATCTCTTGAATGACTAGTGATGTTGAACAGTTTTTCATAATTTGTTTGCTATTTCTACTTCTTTGTGTGAGAAATGTCTGTTCAGTTCAGATGCCCATTTTTGGATTGGGTCTTTAAATTTGGGAGGTCTGATACTTGTAAGTTCTTTATAGATTATAGATAGTAGACCTTTGTCTGAGGTACAGCAGGTGAAAAATATTTCCCACATTGTGGGTTGTCTCTACCCTCTGTTTTTGGTTTTTCTTGCTGTACAAAAGCTTTTTAGTAAGAAGAGATTCCACTTGTTGATTGTTTGTGCTAGTTCATTGGGAAATGAGGCTTTGTTCATTAAATCTTTTCCTACACCAATTTCTTCAAGAGTTCTACCTAACCTGTGTTCCAGCTGGTTCAGTGTTTCTGTTTTAATATTCATATCTTTAATCCATTTCAATTTTAGTTTAGTGCGTGGTGAGAGATGTCGGTCTAGTTTTAAACTTTGGCCAGTTGAAACCCAATTTTTCCAGCACCATTTATTAAAGAGGCTATCTTCCTCCAGTGAGAGTGTTTGGCTCCTTTATCAAAGATGAAGTGGCTGAGTGTGACTGGAGTTGTTTCTGCATCTTCTAATCTGTTCCACTTGTCCTCAGGTCTGTTTCTTTGCCAGTACCATGCTGTTTTTATCACAGTAGCTTGGCAGTACAGTTTCAAATTGAGGGTTGTAATACCCTCCTGACACATCTCTGTTGCCTAGCATTGCTTTTGCTATTCTGGGTCTCTTCTTGCTGCAAATGAGTTTTTGGATTGTTTTCTGAATGTCTGTGAAATATGTTGCTGGGATTCCAATTGGGATTGCATTGAATCTATATAGCAGTTTTGGAAGTATGGCCATTTTCACTAGGTTGATACTTTCTACCCAGGAGCAGGGGACGTCTTTCCATTTTCTGATATTACTTTCAATCTCTCTTTTCAGAGTGCTATAATTTTCAGAGAAGAGGTCTTTGATTTCTTTTTTATTTTGATTCCTAGGTATTTCCATTTTTTTGATACTATTGTGAAAGGCATTATTTGCTCTATTTCTTTCTCAGTGAGTCTGTGGTAAGTGTAGAGGAAAGATACTGATTTTTTTGTGTTGACCTTTCATCCACATATTTTACTGAATTTGGTTATTAAGTCTTGAAGACTTTTGGTGGAGTTCTTGGGGTCTTCTATATAGAGAATCATGTCATCTACAAATAATGACAATTTGACTTCTTCATTTCCTATCTTTATTGCTTTTATTACTTTCTCTTGTCTAATTACCGTGGCTAATGTTTCCAAAACTGTATTGAAAAGGATAGTTGATATCCTTGTGTTGTTCCTGATTTTAGTGTGAAGGATTTCAGTTTTTGACCATTTAATATGATATTGGCTGTTGGTTTTTCATAGATGGCTTTTATCAGATTGCAGTAGAGACCATCTATTCCAATTTATTCTAGGGTTTTGTTTTTTTTTTTTTATCATGAATGCATGTTGGATTTTGTCAAATGCTTTCTCTATCCATCTGTTGAGATGATCATATGTTTTTGTCCTTGGATCTATTGATATGGTGTTTTACATTTATTTATTTGCATATGTTGAATCATCCCTGCATCCCAGGGATGAATCCCACTTAGTCAGGGTGTATGATCTTTTTGATGATCTTCTGCATTCAATTTGCCCATATCTTATTAAGGATTATTGCATCTATGTTCATTAGTGTGATTGGCCTATATTTCTCTTTTTCAGTTGGATCTTTCTCTGCTTTGGGGATCAAGATGATGCTTGCTTCCAGGAGTGTTGTTTCCCTTTCATTATCATTGAAGAGTTTAAACAGTAGTTGCAGCAGTTCCTTTCTAAATGTCTTGCAAATTCAGTGGTGAAGTCATCAGGACCCAGGCTCTTCTTAGTTGGTAAGCTCTTAATTACATTTTCAAATTCTTTGATTGATATTGTGTTGTTTAGAATTTTTAGGTCTTCTTTGTTCAATTTGGGTAATTCATACATATCTTAGAATCTGTTCATTTCTTCTGTGTTTTCAATCTTATTGGCATATGGGCTCTCAAAGTAGGTATTGATGATCCTCTGGATTTCTTCTGGGTCCATTGTAATTTCATCCTTTTCATTCCTAATTTCATGGATTTGGGCCTTTTCTTTCCTTTTCTGATAAGGTTGGCTAAGGGTTTGTCAATGTTTATTCTTTCAAAGAACCAACTCTTGCTTCATTGATTTTTTTGTATCATTCTCTTAGTTTCCACTGAATTGATTTCTGCTCTGATCTTTATAATTTCCTTCCTTGTATGAGCTTTGTGTTTGTCCTGCTCTTCTTTTTCTGGAAGCTGGATATTCAGCATCAGGTTGTGTGCTTGGGCTTGCTCTGTTTTCATAATATGATTATTCACTGCTAAGAATTTCCCTCATCAGTCTGCTTTCATTCTGTCCCATAGATTCCTATATGTTATACAGTCATTGTCATTTAATTGAAGGAACTGTCTGATTTCTTCTTTAATTTCCTCTGTGACCCATTGGTTACTCAGAAGTATCTTGTTCAATTTCAATATTTTTATGAAATTCTTGTGGTTTCTTTTGCTATTGATCTCTAATTTCATCACACTATGGTCTGATAATATACAGGGTATAAATTAAATTCCTTTGTACTTACTTAAACATGTTTTATAACCCATTATGTGTTCTATTTTGAAGAAAGACCCATGTGCACCTGAAAAGAATATGTATTCTAATTTTGTGGGTTGGAACACTCTGTCAACAACTGTTCAGTTCATTTGTTCAAGATTTTGGTTGAGTTCTAGTATTTTGTTGCTTATTTTTTGTCTAGTTGATCTAGCTATTTGTGACAGTGGGATTTAAGTTCCCCCACTACTATTGTATTAGTGCTTATATAATTTTTCATGACTGTTTGTATTTGTTTTATATAGTTGGGTGCACTAGTGTTTGGTGCATAGATATTTATGATTGTCATCTCTTCCTCTTGGATTGTTCCCTTTATAAGGATGTAGTATCCTTCTTTGTCTCTCTTAATCTGTGTTGGTTTGAAATCCACATGATCTGCAGACAGGATAGCTACTCCTGCTTTTTTTTGGGTTCCTGTTTCATGGAGTATTGTTTTCCCCCCTTTAACCTTCAGTCTATGAGTTTATTTTGAATTGTGTTTCCTATATGCAGCATATTGTTGGATCTTGCTTCATGACCCATTCTGCCAGTCTATTTCTTTTGATTGGTGAATTGAGACCGTTATCGTTGATGGTTATAACTGATATGTATTGACTTATAATTGTCATGACCTTTTCTTTTTCCTTCTCTGTGTGGGGGAGAAGTCACAGAGTCCGGGGACTAGGGCCCCTCAGGGAAAGGAGGATAGAGAGAGATAGAAGCTGAAGGTTGAACAGACAGAGGAAGGAAAGGATTTCAGGGTTTAGAGCGGGATCCATCTGAGGAGGTAGAGGATTCCACATAGGGTGGAGGCCCTCCCAAGGGGTCTAAGGGGTCAGGTTCCTGTGAGAGTACTGGCTTGGGAGTCCAGGTCTTAAGTCCCCGGAGTCTTTTTGGGGCAGCGACTAAAATGTGAGTGCCTGTTAGAAGGGAACAGTGCTGCAGCCAAGCCGGAGGTTCCTCAAAAGCCTGAACCCAGATGTCTATGTAGGGAAATTGGTCTGGGTGGCCAGGGTGACTGGTGACCTTGCTCCAAACCACCCGGCAAATACTGGGGTCAAAAGTCCCTTTGGCTGGCCGTCCCACCCCAAAGGCTGGCCATTTCAGTTGGCACAGGGAGCGGAGTCTTCCATGAGAAAATTTTACCCCATATTTATCTTCTTGTTCTGGAGAAAAAGCCAATTTAAAATTAGTGAGAAAACAGTCAAGCGGAGTGGACCTGGTAGAACAGGATCCTCCCATTACTCTGTTCTCGATGAGGATTGAAAAAAATGTAAAATCAGACACACAACAGACACAACACTTACATACAAAAGACGAGATGAACGGGCAGCACAACAAAATGAAAGTAAAGCTTCCCTTGTTCCTCGTCGGGAACCTCAGGGTCAGGGGAGGCTTACCAGCTCATCAGCCACCTCAGTTTTGACTTAACAAATGGTTGCAACTGGCCAAAAGCTTACCTCTGGAGGTTTTCTGAGGTCTGTGCCCTAGGGTCTCCTGCTGGATCCCACCATGGAGTCTCAGCTGAATCTGGGGTTCCTACCCAGGGATCTTGCTGGGGCCCCCAAATGGAGGACTGTGGGCCTCACCAACTGCTCCGAGGAGCTGACTACAGTGAGAATCACCCGGGAAGGAACACACCAGACAAGTTGAGAAAGTAAAACAGACCTTTATTAGTCTGGCCGGATGGCACCCTCCAAGCACCAAGCTTAGAGAGGCACCCGGCTCAGAGTCTGAGGCTCTTTTATAGGGGTCGCAAGAGGGAACTTGGCAAGCAGCTGTACAGAAGCGAGACATTGGCAGTTAGGGTTGTGTTGCAATTAATCTTTGGTACAGAAGCGAGACATTGGCGGTTAGGGGAGTGTTGTAACTAATCTTTGCATAGCAGGCATAAGACTATCTTGTTGTATTTCTTGGAACAATAACAAGTACATTCCGGAAACTTGACATCCCCATGGTGACCTGTAACAGAAGCAGATAAGATGGGGCCTTATTACAAAATGGAGTAACTTCTGTTCAGTCTCACAGTGCTTATATATTTAGGATTGTCATCCCTCGCACTTGGATTGTTCCCTTCATAAGTATGTAGTGACAATCTTTGTCTCTCTTAATTAATTTTGGTTTGAAATCTACTTTGTCTGCAAATAAGATTGCTATGCCTGCTATTTTCTGGGTTCCTGTCATGTGGAGAATCATTTACAATCCTTTTACTTTCAGTCTATGAATTTACTTTTGAGTTAGGTGTGTTTCTTGTATACAGCATATTGCTGGGTTTTGCTTCTTAATCCTTTCTGTCAATCTATTTCTTTTGATTGGTGAATTGAGGCCTTTAACATTGATAGTTATTATTGATAGATATTGACTCATCCTTGTCATGATGTTTTACTGTTGTTGGCTCCTTTATTTCTCATTTTTCCCCCTTTTCCTTTTGTGTCTTACCTTGTATGTTGCCTTCTTTCTGTTGGGCCTCACGGAGTTCTGACCTTCATTGTATTTTTCTAGGATAGTGCTTAAAATTGTTTGGAGTGCTGGTTTGGTGTTCATGAAATTTCTCAGATTTCTTTGTTGTGAAAGTGTCTAATTTCCTCATTGATTTTGAAAGATAATTTTGCAGGATACAACAGTCTAGGTTGGAAGTTATTTTCTTTTAGGCCTTGAAATACTTTACTCCAGGCCCTCCTTGATTTGAGGGTTTGTGTTGAGAAGTCTGCTTTGATTCTGATCAGCTTTCCTTTATAGGTGATTTGTTTCTTTTCTCTAACTGCTTGCAGGATTTTGTTTTTCTGTTGGGTTTCTGGGATCTTGACTATTATATGTCTAGGTGTAGATTTTTTTGGTCATGACTGGGTGGAGTTCTATATGCCTTGCTTATCTGTATGTCCAATTCTCTACCTCTGTCTGGGAAGTTTTCCACTATTACTTCTGTGAACAGTTTTTTATGTCAATTGTACTTTCTACTGTTTTTTCATGGAGTCCTATGAGTCTTATGTTATTCTTCTTTGCATCATCTAGCAGCTGTTGGATTGATTTCTCATGGTCCCTTACTATGTTTAAGAAATCTCTGTTTTCTTGGTCCTTAACCACAGTCTTGTCTTCTATATCTGATATTCTGTCTTCAGATTCTCTTAGTCTGCTCTGTATGCTTTCAATGGAGTTTTTAATCTCCTGAATATCTGTTTGAATCTGTTTCATGGATTCCATTTCTTTCTCATGTTGGGCAATCATGGGTTCCATTTCTTTGTTATGCTGGGCATTCATGGCTTCCAGCATGTTTATGATCTCATCTATTTTCTTATTTGTTTCTGCTCTGGAGCCTCTAATCATGTCTTTCACTCTGCTCACCATCTCTGTATTTATCTGGAGATTATTTCTACTTTGAATTTTTCTAGAGCCTCATGCATCTGCTTTGTTATTTCCTGTGCTATTAGTTCAGGGTGTTCAAGCGGTTGCTTATCAGTCTTTTCCACCTAATTTCCCCCAGTATTTCCTTTTTGTGGCATGGAAGCCTGCATTTTTGCCTTGCTTAAGTGTCTTCTCATTTTTGTTTTTGGTACTGTCCTTGGTTTAATTCCTGGGTTGATATTTCAAAATTGCTTAATGTAGGTATCTTTGTTGTTTGTGTTTCAAACCCTTGTGGAATGATTGCTTTTCAGAGGTGTCTTCCAGATGTAGCTTGTGTTTGGGTTTTGAGGCTCTAATGACTCTGAGGTTATTTTATTTTCCTTATACCAGGAAGGAAAACTAATTAGATCATTCACAACACATTAGCCCAAATGACACCATCAGCAATACCATAGCATCAAGTGCAGCTTAGAAAATGACAATTTGTGATAGTTATTAATCTGTCACATTTAACTATGGGAGTTAAAACCAAGGACCAATGCAATATAAACTTATAATGAATAAACTCTTCAATATAGCATCTTTCCCCTTCAGGGTGGGGAGTTAGAAGGAGTTGGGGAGGGTGGGAGAGGTAGAGAGATCAGGAAAGATTAGCAGTGAGACCAGAAGACACAGGAAGATCATACAAACTCTAAGAAGTTGTTAAAGGCAAGAGGAAAAGGCATAATGAAAGAACAAAATGTGAATAGAATCACCTAACAGCAACTGGGAGGCTAGATACCATATTTACTTTCCTTTAAACCTAATGATAATCAAGAGAAGGAAAAAAAGAAGAAAAGAAAAATAAAGGTGAAATCTGAATTCAGTGCAGAAAGGAACAAATGGGGAGATGAAGAGCAATGTGGGACAGTGAGAGAATGAGAGAGAGAGAGAGAGGGAGAAAAGATAAAAGAAAGAAAAGTAAAAATTTGAACAGTAGAAAAAAGTAAAAATTTAGAATTAAAAATAAGAGGAAAAGAAATTTTTTTTCTTTTTTGAAAATAGCAAAAAATAAAAATTATGGGCCTCCTTCAGGGTATGTGTCTGCTGTCACAGCAGGCAATGTAGGAATCTGTGTGCATATATGAGTCAATGAGTCTCAGCAAGCCAGCAGCAGACCTGTGAGATTCAGGCAGATTTCTGACTGCTAGTCCCAAGTTAAGCTCCCTATCCTTCTGCAGGTTTGAACTCTGCAAAGTCCTACAGCAGGTTCCAGTTGCCCTTCCCCTGAAGATAGTTCAGGTTTTGATAGGAGATAATGGTTCCAGGTGATGATCCCTCCAACTTACCAAGTACAGTGGTCTGATGTGCCTTTATTGTAGAGATTCTCTTTACTTTTCCATTGAGCTTGTTTTCATCAAGGAGCATGAGAAGCCCTCTTTCTTTTACTAACTTCTGCCCTATCTTGTGTCGCTCAGGACATGGGTCTTTATAATCCCCTGTGCCTATGTAGTGTGGGAACAGGTAGCAGGAAAGTCAGAAGGCCAGAGACGGGGTCGGGGGAGAGTGAGACTGGGCCTTGGAGACTCCTGCAGGGCTAAGCAGACCTCACTGTGGTGTGGGCTGAGCCCGGGACAGCCAGGGAGCTTCACACTGCTTGTCTCACCAGTTTATGCTGGCTAGTCATGGCTAGGAGAGTGTTGGATGGGGGTGGGGCTCCAACCCATGCCTGGGACCTCACAGTGGCATGGGTGGGGCCCGGGATGGCCAGGGAGCTTCACACTGCTTGTCTTACTGGTTTATCTAGAGTGTTGTAGTTTTCAATGTAGTTTTCTTGTTTCCCTAGATTTATTCCTGGATATTTCCTTTTTTTGGATACTATTGTGAAAGGAATTTTTCACTAATTACTCTCTCAGTGAGTCTCTTATTTGTGTACAAGAAGGTTATTGATCTTTGAGTGTTGACCTTGTATCCTGCTATTCTACTGAATCTGGCAGTTAAGTCTAGAAGTCTTTTGGTGGAGTTTTTGGGTCTTCTATGTAAAATATCATGTTGGCAGCAAATGACAGTTTAACTTCTTCATTTCCCATTATTTCTTTTAGTTATTTCTCTTTTCTAATTACTTTGGCTAATGTTTTGAGAACTATATTGAATATGAGTGGTCATAGCGGACCTCCTTTTCTTGTTCTTGATTTTAGCATGAAGGCTTTCAGTTTTTAAACATTTAGCATGATGTGGGCTCTTGGTTTTTCATAGATTCCCTTCCTTAGGTTGAGACAAAAAAAATCTATTCCAATTTTCTGTAAGGTTTTTTATCATGAATGAGTGTTGAATTTTGACAAATGCTTTTTCTATTGAGATGATCATATAGATTTGTTCTTGACTCTGTTAATATAGTGTATTACATTTATTGATTCATGTATGGTGAACCATCCTTGCATCCTTTCAATAAACCCAACTAGGTCATGGTGTATGATCTTCTTGATGATATTCTTCATTCAGTTTGCCAGTAATTTATTGAGGATTTTTGCATGTATATTCATTAGAGAGATTGTCCTGTAGTTCTCTTTTTCAGGTGGGTCTTTCTCTGCTTTTGGAATCAAAGTAACACTTGCTTCCAGGAATGAATTTGGGAGTATTGCTTCCCTTTCAATTTCATTGAAGAGTTTAGAGAGTAGTGGCAATAGTTCTTCTCTAAATATCTTGTAGAATTTAGCAGTGAAGGCATCAGGACCTGAGCTTTTCTTTGTTCCAAATTTTTAAATTATGTTTTCAATTTCACTGATTGTAATTGAGATGTTTAGAATTTTTATATCTTCTTCACTCAACTTTGGTTATTCATATG